ATGGATGGAAGCTAACTAAAAATGAACATCCAATTCCCATCCGAAGTTACCAATAAGCCAAATAAACTGCCAATTGACTGGTTCCTAGCTTGTCAATAGGCAGAGGAGCTGACAAAAGATCCAAACAAATTTTCCCTCACCCACAAGTGATATAATCAAAACAAGAATGATCACCAGACCTAACACACAAAAACCAGTACATTGTCGACCCCTTTCTACATCGATCCATTACAAAACCTCAAGACAAATCTGAGGGTGAAATGCTTATCAGTAGGGGGCTAATGTAGATACATAGTGATCGCTCAGACCATCAGAATACAGAGGATACTGAATTGGTACCCCATGGACTCCTACGATGAGTTCACAACTCATCAACTGCCTACGATGAGCTTATAGTCCATCAGACGACTGTGATGAATGTATGACTCATTGCACGATTGAGACAAACTCGTACTAAAGACTAATCGTGATGAGCTTTGGTAAATGTAAACCCATGATGAACTTTAGGCGCACGGTTCTACGATGAACTTCGGATGCACACGGAATTGCGATGAACTTTGAACGCACATGGAATTGCGATGAATTCGAGACCATTACAAAACCACAGGGTCATTGTAAATCGGGAACAAATATCGGTTACACGTGCGCCTTTAATTATATATGTGATAAGGCGCCACGTGGATCTAATAAAAGAACGCCCGCTAAATGATGACATCACCAGTGCCACATTGGTTAAATGGGTCACAAAAGGAAGTAGCACATGCGGATTATGAGAATCCTCAGACAAAAGGAAAGTTAGTCCTTGAGAGATCTCATAAGACACATGGCAAAACCCTAGCAGTGCTCCTTAATAATCGACAGCGAATCCAATATTCCCTTTCCTAGTAGGAATCGAACACTACTAGCTCCTTCCTTTCGGGACCTTGGGATCTCTCCCTGTAAATGAGAGCCCATCTCATGACGGCATCATTCATTCAATCATTCTATTCTACCCTCTTATCATTCCACTACTCATTCGGCATTATCATCCTATCATTCTCACTTTGCCCTAGCCTTCAACATCTATTGGCTATGACATTTATGATACTAGTTGATTGGTCAAAAAATTTTCAGATATCATATTTTTTCTATATCATTGTTGAACTCAAAATATAAATAATTATTAATTACTTAAAAATTAAAAAAAGATATAAAACAATTGTGTACACTTATGTTTTTCTATTATTTAGCTTTTGCTTAACAAATCCCATGCATTGCATGGGTCCCTGCCAATGTTAAGCTAAAATCTGAATGTTGAATGCTAAATATGGTTATTTTATAATTTTGTTCCCATATTTGATTATGAAAATGGATATTTATGTTGATTATAATTAAGATTAACTTGATATTAATTGTTATTTCTAGAATAACATTAATATTTAAAAACAAAAGTAATAAAGTAATAATGAATAATGATGAAAAATAATAAAATAACAAAAGTAACACATAATTATAAATTATTGTTATTTTAATAAATGCATAATCAAATAATCAAAGAATTAATTAATTAAAATGGATATTTTATAATTTTGTTCCCATATTTGATTATGAAAATGGATATTCATGTTGATTATAATTAAGATTAAATTGATATTAATTGTTATTTCTAGAATAACATATTTAAAAACAAAAGTAACAAAGTAATAATGAATAATGATGAAAAATAATAAAATAACAAAAGTAACACATAATTATAAATTATTGTTATTTTAATAAATTCATAATCAAATAATCAAATAATTAATTAATTAAAAATAATAATAATTATTAAAATATATAATAATCATATAATAAGAATAATTAAAATAATATATAAAATAGTTACAATAATAATTGAAAGTAATTAAATAATAATACAGTGATAAATAACAAAACAGGGAAATAAAATAATAATAATAATAATAATAATAATAATAATAATAATAATAATAATAATAATAATTAATGAAAAATAATAAACTAATGAAAATAATGAAAGTGATATATAAAAATAATTAAATAGTAAATAACTTATGAAACAATAAAATTAAAAAATAATCATATATTGTTATAATTTTAATAATAAGTATTAAGAAATTATTATTATTAGTTTTCTAATAATAATTATTATGATTATTTGAATAACAATAATAATAATAATATTATTATTATTATTGTTATTATTATTATTATTGTTATTATTATTATTATTATTATTATTATTATTATTATTATTATTACTATAATATATTATTATTATTATTATTATTATTATTATTTTCCTAATAAATAATATCGTGCTAATAAATAATATTTATTATTTTTATACTATTTTAGTACTTTTTTTATAAAGATTTAGTAAAGTAAGATGTGTTGCTAATAATAAATATTGAATAAAATTCACAAAGGGATTTTGGGGACAAGTAATAAAAATGCACAAATGGGTCAACCCATGATTTCATAGTTAAATAATAAAAATTTTAAAATAAAAAATTATAGAAAAATTTGGGCACATCTTTGTTATTTTGTATTAATGATATTAAAAATAAGGCATGATAAACAAAAATTTTCTATTGATGATGAAAATGAAATATAAAATTCAAAATCAACCCAAGAATGGAATTGTTTTCTTATTTGGTGGTGGGTCAATAGTTCAGCCTCTCTCTCACTCTCTCTATCCTTCATTTTTTACTCTCTCCTACATTTTTTCTCTCCTTCCTTTCTTTGTCTTCTCTCTCCTCTCTCCCAAGTTTCTCTCTTCCTCCTCTCCTATATTTTCTCTCTTCTCATTCCAATGTTTCTCTCTCCTCTCTCTACTCCTACTTATGTGGCTCCTCTCTCCTTTATCTCCATTCTCTCCATAACTTTCTATGAAGTCCAATTGTGATGTTAAACCAATGAGATAAGGATATACATCACTATAGGAGAAATCGAAAACATTTTTTTATTAAATATTGGTTTCCACAAATGTATATATACAAATAGGTCAACATGGATGAGATAGGTTGGTGTGGATTTGAGCAAACCCCATACCTATAACCCCAACCCCGGTTACAGTGGGATTTGATCACAAGTCTCCACTACAGCTAGCTAAAGAACCAACCAACTGAACCACGATTAGTTGATGTACATCAGCACAACAGTTACAGTGCCATGTGGATGTGGGTAGGAATTTTGTGGGTATGAGATCCGGGTTGCACGTTAGTTCATATTTACAGCTTATTTATGTTTTGTTTCTGTGTTCTATGATGGATGAAGGTACCCTGAGGTGGCTTGTTGAGAGAGAGAGAGAGAGAGGGAGTATAGGTGTGAATTATATCATAGTGTGGATCCATACATGATCTATTTATAAATGGATCAAATTCAAATCATCCTAATAAGATTGAATTCGCATTTGAACAATTGAATATTATTTGCAGTTAATGGTGATTTTTTCAGCTCGACTTGGCCTAGAAATTCTAGGCTTGGGCCTAGGTTTTATGTTCATGCATGCCCTGGGCCTGGGCCTAATATAGCCTGGCATTGGCCTTGATCACCACCAATTTGTAGCCCTACATGATTTCATTGAGGTGGGCTGTAAGTACATAGGGGTGCAAGTAGAGTGGTCTGGGCTTGGGTTAAGTTCAACCCAGGCCCAACCCTGAGGTCAAGACTGAATTGTTCAACCTTAGTCAGTCCAAAATGAATTTTGATGGCCTTGAATTGGGCTTGGGCCTAGGCCAGGTTTGCGTTTGTCAATCAATTACACATTAAAATTTAATATAAATTTATGTATATATATATATATATATATATATATATATATATATGGGCCAGATTCCACTAAGGGTAAGGTAGGGGCAGGCTCAAGTCGAGTTTGGGCTATCTAAGGCCTAGGCCTGGGCCTATCCCAAAAAATAAAAATGCTTGAACTTTTGGGCCCACCCCCAATTTGAGGCCCTAAAATTCAAGTCCAACCCGTGCTAAATTGTGAGTTAAGTCGGTTTGGGCTCATGTTAGGCCTGCCTAGGTTGCACCCCTAGTTGTAAGGATGATTTTCTTTTGGGTAAATTACAAAGGCCACCCTTGTACTTATGGTGTTAGTGGCAAATACCCTCTCCTGCACTTTCATTTGTGACAAAGATCCCCTTTGTTAGCATTCTATCATTTAGCTTCAAAAAAGATTCTCATTTATCTATTTAATGCTTTTCAAATCTCAAAACTGCCCTTTTATTTTAGATTTTGATAACCCAACAACTCATAAAATTATTGGAAAAGTACGGATTTATCCAATGCAGATTTCTGATTTACACTACAGGGCTATAAACATTCAAATGGACCTCAAATTCTGACACGGGGTACCCGTCCTTCTCCCTTTTTTTCTAAGTTAATAGGCTGAATCAACCGAACAGAGTTACTTATCACTCCCCAGTAAATCAGAAATAAAAGATGAACTCGGATTCAACCGTCACTACTCACTAGACCATGCTCACAAGTCACATCTTCTTCATAGCCGAGTTCACATCTGCGCCCCACGATGCCCTGTACCACATCCCCACCTTGTATTGGGAATAACTCTCGATGATGTACCATTATCTCCCGTACTCTTATTTTTTATCATTGTACACATATTCCACGTCAATACAATTAGAATTGATGTCAATTCACAGGCGGGCGTGGATGCATACACTATGGATATCGGTCCATTTGAATGTTTATAGCCCTGCAGTGTAAATCAGATCTATAGTTAGTCGCACATCGCGAATTTATGTGAAATTCATGGGGGAGATTTACCAATCTAAGGCGGGATTCCCCCTGCCTTCCCAATGTGTTAGTGCTTTTTCTTCTTTCAGAGTTAACGGTTGTAAGTATGTGTTGGGTCAAATATGGCCGCCCCTAGGCCCTAACGGCGGGAGCGGGATATTTGTGTCACGCTGAAACTGGTCAAATCGGTCCTATCTCTCTGTACCTTTTCGTTCTTCTCTTTTTTACGCTGCTTAGTTCGATCTTCTTCTTCCTCTGCTGCTTTGCGGGAAGCTGTGTTCGGGAAAAAAATATGGGTATTCGAGAATTGAAAGAAGAATCAATGGGGTGGCCTTCTCTCTTGGTTTCATTGTTCATGTTATGGTCATCACTTCTACTACCCTGCAGCGGCAACAAGGACAGATTAACAGTAGGGAAAACTATAAGCGGGAACCAGACTATAATCTCCGCAGGTGAAACCTTCGCCTTGGGCTTCTTCAGTCCCGGGAATTCTACCAATCGTTATCTTGGAATATGGTACAACAACATTCCCGTAAAGACGGTCGTATGGGTCGCCAACAGGGAAGCACCCCTTTCCCTTCCAGAGGATTCTTCCGGAGTTTTCACTATCAGCGACAACGGCAATCTCGTGGTTTTGGATGGAAACGGAAGAATTGTATGGTCATCAAATGTTTCAGCTGCTGATATGGATAAGAAAAATACCTTTGGATTATTAATGGACTCGAGCAATCTTGTTTTGAGACAGAGCAGTGATCAATCTGACTTGTGGCGAAGTTTTGATTATCCCTCCGACACAGCACTGCCCGGCATGAAACTTAGCTCGAATGTAAAGACTGGGCAGAGCATCCATTTAACATCATGGAAAAACGAAGTCGACCCGGCACCAGGAGAATTTCTTTTAGAAGTCAATAGGGGGATGGCCATCAGGAGGGGGCCGAATCTATTTGCGAGAACTGACTGGGATGGAAATCCGTCAATTGGATCACTTCTGAAAGTAGGCAACTATGCGTTCTACCTCACCGTCACAATCAACGATGAGGGGGTTAACGTCACTTTTACACTGTCACAGCTCTCAGTTTTTTCAAGGTTTGTTCTGAATCAAAATGGACGGGTCGAGCTGATGTCGTGGTTTAACAAGGAGTGGATGACGCTATGGTCGGCTCCAGAGAAGGAATGTGATTTCTATGGAAGGTGCGGTCCAAACGCTAGTTGTTACCAAAACAGCTCTTCATCGATCTGTAAGTGCTTGGATGGGTTCAAGCCTAAAGTTGATAGTGAATGGGATATAGGGAATTGGTCAGGAGGCTGCATTAGGCGAAAGGAACTTTCTTGTAGCAGCAATGGATTTTTGAGAGTTGATGTGATGAAGCTGCCCTATGCCTATCACTTGATTACCATAAGGAATTCAAGTGTGACAGAATGTGAAACTGAATGCAAGAGGAACTGCTCCTGTACGGATTATGCTTTTAGAAAGTATGAAAATGGAGCTGCATCAAGGTGTCTAAATTGGTTTGGAGATTTCGATGATCTAGTGCAAGACGACATCAACGGGAAAGACTTTTATGTACGTCTTGATGGCTCTGAATTAGGTATTTTCAATTCCTTCCCTGTTTTTTGTTTTTTGTTTTTTTTTTCCGTTAATTTGGATATCATATAGCCGAGACAGAGTTACTCTGAGATTGACAGTTTTAAATCCAAGACGTGTAATCAAAACGAATTGAATGAACCATGTGATTAATCGCTTGTCTTTCTCATTCAGTTGGAACCCCCGAGGCAAATAACTTCATGGATAAGAACAGAGTTCGAGTTATAATTTCAATATCAGCAGCTTCTTCTGCTTTGCTTCTTATTGGTGCTTTTGTATATTCTTTACGGAGAAGGTTAACAGAGCATGGTACTCTCTCTCTCTCTCTCTCTCTCTGGTGTGCGAATTGAACTTCATAGCCTCCCTTCATTTGGTAATATAATTGGTACTATCTCAAAACAATATACACTTTTCACTGAAAAAATGCCTCTCCCCTTGCGTTCAGCTGTAGGTGGAAGTGACACAAGTGTTGTTGAAATTATCTATAAGGAATCTGAAGTATTAGCAAGTGAGACCAACTCCCCGGAGCTGTCTTCCTTCAGTCTTAGTACTTTGAGAGTTCTTACTGACAACTTTTCTGTAACAAATAAATTGGGAGAGGGTGGATTTGGCCCTGTTTATAAGGTAATCAACGGTTCCACATTGTTTTCCCTACTTAAAAAGGACTTCACCTCTGTGTTTCTATGTCAATAAATTTCAGACAGAATTGAAGATTTCCTATGTAATAACAGCTCTAAATTAAATAGTTTCATTCTTGTAGGGAAGCTTGCTTGATGGCCAAGAAGTAGCTATTAAAAGGCTCTCTGAGAAGTCTGAACAAGGATTTGAGGAGTTCATGAATGGGCTAAAACTAATTGCTAAACTCCAGCACAGAAACCTTGTTAGACTCGTAGGTTTCTGCATTGAAGAAAAGGAAAAGATACTGATATACGAGTACATGCCAAACAAAAGCTTGGACAAGTTCTTATTTGGTTTGTTGTTGTTCCTTGTGAAATAACTTTTTAAGTGATTTCAATTTCGATTTAACAACTTATGGGCCATTGCTTGATGTTGGGTCCCCACCCAGTCCACCCCTCCGAAGACCCTGGATAGCCCAGAGTCCCATACCAACATAGGTAATGGCCTTTTTACAATATTTCAATATATATTCAAAATAAACGATTAATAATAGCTTTGTCTTTGAAATATGTAAAATTAATCTAAATTTCTTTTTGGCAAATATTGATTAATTAGGTCCAACCAAAGACTCAGAGTTGGATTGGAATACACGCTTTGACATCATAGAAGGTATTGCTCAAGGGTTACTTTATCTTCACGAGCATTCCAGATTAAAGGTTATTCATAGGGATCTGAAGGCAAGCAATATACTATTGGATGGAGATATGAAGCCCAAAATTTCAGATTTTGCGACGGCAAGAATATTTGGGATAAACCAAACGGAAGCAAACACTTGTAGATTGGTGGGGACGTTGTAAGTTGCATTCATGTTATCATACACACACACCCACCTGAACCTACAGACAGATTGGATAAAGAAAATTTATGTACGTAGTTCGACTATTAATTATTATTATTATACTGCTAATTAATTGTTTTCAAATTGTATACAGTGGTTATATGTCTCCAGAATATGCACTATATGGAACATTCTCTGAAAAATCAGATGTGTTCAGCTTTGGGGTACTATTGCTAGATAGTACCTATTTCATTCATAAATCACATGGGAATTATATAATAATTTCTAACAAATGATTATATTATTTTAATAAGAAATTATATGCCTTGTATAATTTGAATACATCCATTGTTTTACCAAAAAAAATAAATCCATTATTTAAAATGTATTTCAAATGTCAAATTTCCCTTAATATATATTAAAGTCTACATGATGTTAATAAAAAGAGAAAAATTCTAAATATAGCAGAACTGTCCATTGTCTCCAACAATGCTTTAAGAGTCGTTCATTGCATATTTAACCTACAAAGAAAAACAAAAAAAAAAAAATGAAAAATATAAAAAAAAACTAGGTAACAAAACCCAATATACAATAAAATATGTAGAATAAATTTTAAGATTCTAATAAATTGGGTTTGGCAACTTGGAAAAAATTGTGGACATATGGCGAGGGTAGTGATTGGGACAGGTCAATAAACTACGAGAGTTTGGCTAACCAAGATAGCTTGATGATGGTGGGATATGGTGATGCCAAAATTAAACTATTGGAATATTTTCTTGTTCAAATAGTTGGCCAAACAAAAGAATAAATGCAAAAGCTTAAACTGGTTTGTGAAGTTCAAATCCTATAGAGTTTTACTATTAGGCTGCGTTTTGGGTGTAAAATCCGGTTCGATGTAATTTTACATTCCGATCCAATTTTGTGACTGTTGGGATGGAATGTAAAAGTACCCCGAAAATCGCTGTAAAAGTGAATTTCGATTTTATTTTACTTCGATTATCGATGTATTTTATACATTGACTTTTTCGAAGTAAAACTCCATCGAAGTAAATACGGTGTAAAACTCACCCCTTCTCTTCGTCTCCCATCCTTTCTCTCACCGTCGAGCACGGCACCCTCACCGCCGTTCTGCTGGTCACCCCCTTCTCTTCCACTCCCTCGCTCTCTCTCACTCTTTCTTTTATTTTTCACAGTTTGCTCTCTTTCTCTCACAAGTTCGAACGCCCTCATCTCAGAGGATGCTCTCAGATCTGCAGGTTCTGATCAGTTTACATTTTTTTCACAGGTTCGAATGCCCTCGTCTCAGAACACAGTTCTGAGAGGACGCTCTCAGATCTGCAGCTTGGTTCTTACAGGTTCGAACGCCTTCCCTCCCTCTCTCTCCCTCCTCTGTGATTTTTGTCACAGTTTATGGTCTGTGATTTTTCTCTCAGTTTATGGTCTGCGATTTTTGTATACTTCTTAGATCTGCGATTTCTGCTCATTCATACTCGTAGATCTGAGATTTGAGGTTAGAATATGCAAAAGGAATATTAGTTTGGACATTAGAAATATGTACCTGGCACCGCAGAACATGAAAATAGTTAGCTGATGGGGTTGTAACGTTCACAACCTGCCAATTGCATTCTTGGATCTGCTTCCCAAGTGTTGGATCCGTCTCAGGTATAACATGGAGATTATCATCGCTCATCTGCATTTGGCCAAGATGGGTCATATTTAGTTTATTTTTCTTTCTTACCCTTTTTCCATTTTTGCTGTGTGTTTTTTTTTTTTCTTTTCATTTCTTTCTTTTTTGGTGGTGGGGGGCTCAGGTTAAAGAAAATTTCTGAACTTTATCTCAGGGGTCATTTGGATTTATGAATAAGAAAATTTAATGGTTAACAGGAGCAGGATTTAAATAGGGTCTTGGGGGGAGTAAAAGAAAACTATTATAAGATATTTCTCAGATTTTTGAGTAACAGCTTTAAATAGTTGGAGTGTACATTAAATCAAAAGGATACAAAAAAATCAAAATGACAAAATCTTTAAAGCTCAAGGCTGTATTAATACTCAGCATGAAACCAACATGATAATCTTTTATGGCAGAGAAGTCAATGAGCTTTGAAATCTAGTAAGTTTAGCAAAGGGTTCATTTTTCTTAGGTATGGTTGTAGTTTCTTGTTTTCATGGTTTTGCTGCTGTTGCTGTTATTGTTGTTGTTGTTTTTTCCTCTTTTTCCACTGGAAACATATCAATCTTCCTGTGACCAGGGCTAGAAAATTTGTACATCATGAATAGGACTGAAACTTAGAAGTTGAATTTCAGTTGCCAATGCTTTTCCATAGTGATTACTAATGATATTCATTAATTTGAATATCATCATTCTTTTTACATACACAACTGAAGTTGATAAACTGAATTTAAGTCAGACTTTCAGTGCTTGATGAATGCTGATGTTATTCAATACAATACAATTTTAGGTTGGGCCAGAACGGTATTCCATGTATCAGATTGGATTAGGGGTGGAAAACAACATGTGATTTTAAATCAGGTGGGGCTCAGTTCAAGCCATCTTCCTGACTCTCCGAAACACATGTGGACACCCATGGGACTGAGACCAGCAACTATTAGTCCCACCAGAGAGGCTCTAAACTAAAAACCATGAATAGATAAATCTAGAACTCTATATGCAGTCCATTTTATGAACAATATAGATTCAATACCAGGAAATATCAGATCAAATGTAATTTAGGCTAAAAGTAGATTAAAATAAACAGATTCTTAAATTACTTTTTCTTTAGCATTAGGTTGAGATTTAAGTAACTAACCTATGACTTCAAGCATTACCTGCACCTTCAGCATCATGTTTGTTCTTGAAATTGCTTGTAGACCACCATATCAGAACTGGATGAGGAGTTTTTGTTTTAGTTTTTTATTTATTTCTTTATTTATGTAGACCACCATATCATATTTGTTTACTTCTTTAGCATTTTGTTTACTTTGTTTTTGTTTATGTAGACCACCATATCTAACATGACAACTGAAATTTTGGAATTGTTTCAGGCCTGGGAGATGTGGAAAGAAGGTGAGGGCCAAAAGATAATAGATCCAGTGTTGGGTTGCTCATATCCCAAAGATGAAGCGCTCAGATGCATTCATGTAGGTCTGTTGTGTGTACAAGAAAGATAATTGTGGACATCATGACCATGGGGATGGTCATGGAGGTGTGGTGGGATCGAATAATGTGGCCATCCACATACAAAAAAAAATTAACGGCTGTTAATTTCAAACAAGTGTTTAAAATACATTCACATTTACACTGTTTTTTCCAAACGTACATCAGTGTAAAAACAATACAGAAGTGGTTCAACTTCTGTATTTATAGATGTGACCGTTCTTCATTTACACTGGTGTATTTTTGTATTTACACCTCATCCAAACGCAGCCTTAATAATTGGCCAGTTATGTATCCTCAGACTCCTGTAGAAGATTAGAGGTCGATATGAGGATAAGTCATAGTTGATTCCAAATTTTAGACACATGGAGAGGTGAATAGCCTATGGAGTCTATGAACTAGTTTGTATGAAGTTTAAGGACTAGTTTGAGGATATAATCATGTCCAATAACAAGCATGTTAAAGCTATAGTCATAACTAATATGTAAGTTGAAGCAAGCCAAGACATAAAAAGTTAAATTGATAGTATTGGCAGTTGGAGCCTTGAAAACTGTCAAACCCATAATGAGGTCCTCTATAGCTAGATCAATGAATGCTTTATGTTGTACAAATTTTCATTTTCATTTTACATTTTATGTTTGATTGTTTTGAGTTCTAACGAGGAAAGAAATCTACAAAGAACATTTCAAGCCATTGGACATCTGAGGAAGAAAACAAAGTTTGTTTCTCTTCAACTAAATATAAAATTGTTGTATGGATTGGTCTGAGGATATGATTATGTCCACTAACATGTGTGCTGAAGCAAGCTAAGATGTAAATGGTTAATGATGTTGAGCAGTTGGAGCTGTAAGGTGTCCCAATATTATTGAAGTGTTGAAAATTTTAACAAAATGAATTGCAACTTGGGGGATGGATGCTTAACCAAAATGGTTCATAGAAGGCAGCCTTAAAGACTAGAGTAGGGTATCCAATCTCAAGCCTAGATGCTGCAAGAAGATAAAAACATGAATGGAGTTATGCCGTGGACATATGAGTTAGAACCTAAACCAAAACACCCTATACAATTAACAAAATTAAGGGACTGCAAAGAGCTATTGTGTTAGGCCTAGAGTTTACTATTACATATGTAACTTGATAATAATCACAATACTTATAATCCAAGACTTAAGTTGTTGAAGAACCAAGATGTAAAAGGTTAAATTGATGATGTTGGGAAGTTGGAATTGTACCCAATATTATTGAAGTGCTGAAAATTTTTGGCAAAATGATTGTACCTTAGGGGATAGATGCTGTACCAAAAATACTTCATAGAAGGCAGCCTTAAAGAGTAGAGTGGGGTATCCAATCTGAAGCCTAAATGCTGCAAGAAGAGAAAAACAAGAAGGGAGTTATGCAATAGACATACAAGTCATCGAAACCTAAACTAAAACATCCTATACAAATGGAAAAATTAATTCTCAATTTGAAAAGACTATAAATACAAATATATATAAAATAATATAAAATACAAGATTCTACACTCTACATATTTATATTTGTACTCTTTCCAAACTGAGCTTAAGGGACTGCAAAGAGATATTGTGTTAGGCCTAGGGTTTACTATTCCATATGTAAACTGTTAATAATCACAATACTTATAAACCAAGACATCAGTTGGTAAAGAACAAAGGGTTTATTATTCCATGGTTTTTTGTCTTTGTATTCAATATAACTTGCATTATAAGTTTTTTATGATAAAAATATATTAAAATAAAGAATAAGATACAAAAAGATGAGCAGCCCGGCCAAAAGAACCTTACCAGTCACCCCAATTGATAAACTATAATAATGCAACCCTAAACTACTATAAATACTCATCCCACCAAACCAACAGCCCAAAATAGAGGCTCCTACCCTAGTCCTAGAGGGGCAGATGCATTGTAAGTTTAACTTGAACCTAATACATGATTACTATAAAAACATGCATATTATCTTGGCTAAGCCCGAGCCACAATCAATGCTCATTTAGCCAAGTAAAATCATAGAATCCTAAAACCCACAAGGTTATGCAAGACTTGAACAAAAGCACCACTAGATCCACATTAAAACCAATGAAACCTAACAAATAGAGACAAGAGAACAAAAGAGAAATAATAAAAAAAGAGGGTGGTGCCCCTGTTTTGCTAAAGGTAACAATAATCTCTACGGATCTACTCTTAACAAATAACTGATAAGCATACCTAGAATGAGGGTAAATACCTATTCAGATTATGATAAAGAAGAAGAAAAGTAATGCATCGATTGCACATATTCAAACCAAACCAAAAGAGCACAAAAATTAAAATAAGAAAATGTTGAGAAGCTTACCCGATTGCTCTAAACACCAAAATCTGAAGTGGACAACAAAAACCAAAGGAACATGTGCAAAGATATAATATTGAGCAGATGATTGAGTTTTTTAAAACCAAAGGAACATGGCCATTATTCGATTCGATCAAAAAGCGAAGCTAAAATATTGAGTTTTTTTAAAGGGGAATTAAAGCAGATGATTGAACTTGGGAAAATTGAATCAGAGTGAAGAGGTGTTTTAGCAAGGAAATGGCCAAATGCAAATAGGTTGCATGCGAAGGAAAAAAAATCTTTTCCTCTCTTTTTTTGTAATTTTTGAATTCCTAGTGCTACAAGAAAGAAAGGTAAAATGGACTACGCCTTGGAGCGAGCGAAAAAGAGATTGAGTGATTCGGTTGAAAGGGGGAAAGGGGGTTGCTAAAATGAGAGAGGGAATTAAGTTTGCTACAATTTTTCAAATGCACGCTTGAATTCGAATGGTAGGTCTTTCAATCATGGTTTTTGAACTGTTATTGATTTAGATGGTCATACCGTTTGGCCCAAAAATTGTCCAAACAACTAATTCTGTCAATGTTTTAAAAATCGGTCCAAAGATTGAATCATTTTTACCTCCGGGTTGCGGATCATCGGTTTGGCCATTTGGGTCAAACCGTCAGACCAATTTTAATAGGTGATTCAAGGAGTTGCTAAACCCATTCCCTCTGCCATGTCCACCAGCCCATCCTTTCCAACATTGGCAACGTCAAAGCACTGGATCATAGCAGCTAACGTTATGTGCAGAACATGATTTGATTAAAACATGTAAAAAACAAAGCTATCAATTATCCTTTACATAAAATTCAAAATACTATTAAATTTAACATTTAATACATAGAGGTTATATTCTTTCTAATAATATGTGGAATAGGGAAGATCAAGTTTAGCTTAATACCGTACCCTATCCATACCTGTACAGACTATAGAATCTCAAGACTCGTCCTTTAAACAAAAAGAAAAGAAAAGAAAAACACCCCAATGGAGAGAGTAGAGACGGATATCATGGGGTAAGGTAGAAATTGCCATTCACATTTTTTAGGAGCCCTAAGTTTACTCTACTTTGAGAGATGATGAAGCTCTTTATATAACAGTTCATACTTCATATTAAAAATTACCTCGATGCTAGTTAACGTTGTAGTCCACTTATCCCTATTTTTTTTTTTAAATAGAATCCTTAAAGTAATTTTTTTGGGTAAATTACAAAGACCCCCCTGCAAGGTTCAAAATATCGATGTGTCGGTATAGGCGTATCGGGTGAATTGATACTTTTTTTTTTTTACCTTTTTCTTTTTGAAACCGATTTAGGGCTCCTCTAACCTCCTGAACCAGTCAAACCCCTGATACATCACTATAGGGGCGTATTGGTAGGGTCCCAAAATGATACGTATCAGTCAATACGGACTGATACGTATTGATACTTTGAACCTTGGTCCTTTACTATGGGATTTATGACAAAGACCCCCTATACTTTGTTTTGCAATAAAGATCCCCTGTATTATAAGTATGAGAGAAAGACCCCCTTCCCTATTAACTCGGCTACCAGAACACACCGAAAACCCTCATGTAAATCCCTAGCTGAAATCTAACTAAAACCCCTCGTGTAATCCATCTCAATGATGGTTCTTTGTCGGAGATCACACCAATTCCACAACAAGTGTCATTATCACTAGAAAAGAAGATCTTATCACAGTCGTCGAAGAAAAAAATCTATTTTCACCATTGCCAAAGAAGAAGCCTCTTTTCGATGTCGCAGGGGGAGCAATCAATACTGACACTGTCATCACTCACCGTAGCCCGTAGCCAAAGCAACACTATGTGGGGCCCAGGTGGTTGATAAATGATAATAATTCCATGATTCCATTTGTACGTTGAAACATATTACCTTAGGTCCGTGTAGGTAGCACTACGCTAAAATTAAGAATAGGGTACTCTATTGTCTACAGCCTGCAATCTGCGTCCGCCTCTCCCAGACCAGAAGTCAAGTCAGAGAGAGGATTCCGTTTTACCCAATATCTAACCGTTAGAGATGAGTACGTGTCACCCAGCTACGATATGCCCGTCTCTGTCTAGTCGAATTCCTTTGCATCGGGGGAATTCCGTTTTACCCGTTTTAACCGTTAGAGATTAGTGTATCGGGGTTTGACCGGTTCAAGGGGGTAGAGGAGGAGCCCTAAACTGACCCCTGAACCAGTTTAAGAAAAAAATAAAAAAAGTAAAAAAAGACAAGAATAGTAATAAATTATTAGAAGACATTACTATCGAAGTGTCAACCAGTCGCCCCTGATCGATTCTTCTATATAGCTTGAAGACAAGAATATCTTTCTTTTGCAATAATGGATCGTCGGATAGATTAGCAATGTTGTTTTCGGACGAGATTCCCTCCGTTATCCGCCTTTACTCGCTTCTCTCTCTTTGTTTCTCTGGCGACGTAGTTGATTCTCAATCAACGCAATTTGATCTTGGAACTTTAACTCTGTACAGTCTGAAGCTTCTCGGAGATGCTCATTTGAGTAATGGCAGCTTGCGTCTCACTCGTGATTTGTCCGTCCCTAATTCCGGCCCTGGGAGGATCTTGTATAGTAAGTCCGTTAGGTTCCGCCAGCCAGAGACTCCTCCGGCTTCTTTCTTGACTTTTGCTCCTTCTCGGTCACTAATCTCAACCCATCTTCCATTGGTGGGGGACTCGCTTTTCTAATCTCGCCGGATGACGAGACGGTTGGCGATGCTGGTGGGTTGGTTCCTTGGCCTGGTTGGAAGAAATGCGGTGTCTAGATTCGTTGCGGTTGAATTCAACACATTAATGGACGTAGAATTCAGGGACATTAATGGGAACCATGTGGGTTTGGATGCTTGCTTTCTACTCAGGTGGGTGATTTGGGTGCAGTTAATTTGGAGCTAAAAAGCGGGGATCTCGTGAATGCTTGGATCGATTATGATGGCCCGACTCGGTCATTTAATATCTTTGTTTCGTACTCGAATCTCCGGCCAACCGATCCGCTTCTGTCATTCAACCTCGACCTGGAACGGTTCGCCAACGATTTCATGTACGTGGGTTTCTCTGGTTCGACTCAGGGGAGTACAGAGATTCACAGCATTGAACAGTGGAGTTTTAGTTCTTCATTTGGCGGAGCTTCATCTTCTGTCTCCTCGTCCCCATCCTCTGTAACGGCTAATACATCGAATTCGGCAACTCCTTCCTTAGCTCCTACCATCTCTACTTACGACTCCAACAAGTCATCCTGCCATAACCAACTCTGGAAGCGAAGACCCGGCGCGGTGGTTAAAATTGTCAAAAGAAATTGATTGCAAGGGAGAAATAAGGTGAGAAAACATACAAGTCAAAAGAGGGTTAAAATTGTCCGAATAGTTATTATAAGGATAG